TCGACGCCTCCTATTCCGCTATCCACTACATTGAGGGCAAAGTGCACGGGGTCGTTTTCGAGAATTTAGTTGTCAATGGTACTGGCACCTTCTTTTTGCAATTGCAAGCCACTGGTGGTGAGGCAACGTTCAAGAATGTTAAGGCATTTAACATTGGACAGCCTGACCCCATATTCAACCTGACCTGCCATGAGCCATTCACAATTACCGTGGAGGGTTCAAAAACTGGTTGGTACACCGATAAGCCTGATTGCGGTAGCGATTCCTACATTAAGGGACTGGTGCCCAAATGGCCCTGGAACTGGTAATTCATTTGCGAGTGAATTTATGTAATTGTTAAAGATCATTTTGTTAAAGATTCATAAATTATAAAAATAAAATTAATTTTATTAATTATTGTCATATTTGTAACATTATTTTCTAAACCCCATTTGCCATATTTATACGGTATTTCTAATTATGGCTATAATAATTTCAAAACCTATTTACCAAATTACATGGTTTACTCAATAGTTAAAATGCATATAGTAATACACGCAAACACATTAATTAAGATACACTTTCTCATGAAATATTTAAAAATAAAGTTTAATTTAATAATATTATTTACACAGGTCATTTTAAATATTAGATGGTTTATTTGGATTGAGTTGTAGTAACTTGCAATTAAATTATAATTAAGATTATCAATAAAGTAATTTAGTATTAATCATAATATTTTTGTATTATCATTTAATAATAGTGATTAATATACAATAGTATCATAATTAAAAGTAAAATATTGAATTTGAGATTACCCTAAAACAATAATAAAGTATAATAGAGAAATGTAGAATTACAACTTATTTACAGCTTACTGGGTAAGTTTTAATAACTTTATTGTTTGCAAATTATAAACATTAAAATAAAATCATGTTTACCCAAATACATATTATAATATAAATTATGTTTATCATTTGATAAGGCTACATTTCCTGTTGATCATACATTGCAATTTGAAATTATTTATTAAACATAATTATTAAATTTAAAAATTAGTAGGCATTTACAGTTTTTACAGAAAGCAACTAATTTTTTAAAGCACAAAAATATTATATTAAACAGTAATTAACAGGAATAGTCCAATTTAAATTTTAAGGTCAATTTTAATTACTAAAATATGTTTGAAGTTACAGTTTCTCTAAAGATTAATTAGGTAACATTAGAAATGTTTAATAAGTGAGTGAAATGATTATTTTAATTTTTAATAAAATTATTTTTAAATATTTAGTTATAAATTTATATCTATAATGTTAGTTACTTGTTCAGTTACATCAATGAACAATGGCATTATGTATTTCTATTAAATTAGTAATTTTAATTCCAGTATTATTATTTATCATGCATATAAATAATAAACAAAAAACAACGATTTTTAAATTGAGAAATTCTCAATGAGAATAATAAAATATAAATAGAAAATTATTTAAGTAATCAATAAATTATACTTATAAATATATAACAAAATATATAATTTTTGAAAGTGACAACTTAATCTTAAATTAAATTAATCTGTATTAAGTGTTTAAATAAAGGTATTGATATATCAATACCTTTGTCAATTCTTTTATACTTTACTAGTTAAGTACATTTTTTAACATTATCATATCGAAGTGGATTCAAGTAATATAATGTTAGATAAACATATGGTATTGTGTATAACTGTACTAACACCAAGGTCAATTGAGAGTATAAAATAAGAGACAATTTTCTATTCACATTCAGTTCATTTTGTAGTTGTAACAATACGTTACAACAAAAACTAGCTGTACAAATAAACGTTTTATATTAAATATTTACTTCTACTAGAATACTTAAAAAATAGTAATTTAATATGAAAGTATTTATATTAGTTGCATTTGTAATCCAGGTCATAAGTGCGGTAGATTGGATACCTGGCCGTGGTGCACAGGTAGCATTTGTCGAGGTGGAGGCTGAGCATGCAAATCACAATGGTAAATTAATTGGCAATGACCGACATTACACCACACTATCATCGGAGGCTAGTCAACGTCGCGCTGTACAATTGAATGCCCCTGGTCAGTACGTGGAGTTCACCACACCCATCGAGTCAAACTCAGTGGTCGTAAGGTATAGCATACCCGACACTCAACAGGGTAAAGATCAACAAATACGTGACGCCGATATTGACCTGTATGTGGGTGGCACCAAGCTCAAATCACTGACATTCACCAACAAATACAGTTGGTTTTACGGGAGCTATCCGTTCAACAGCAACCCCTCGAGTGGGACTCCCCATCACTTTTACGATACCGTACGTACTCTCTTTGACAAGACCTACCCAAAAGGCACCAAGGTGAAGGTTCAAGTGACATCGGTGGACAAATCGCCCACATTCACCATTGACCTGGCTGATTTTGAGCTGATAGCGCCACCTATACCACAGCCCTCGGGCTCGTTGTCGGTCACCGATGCCGCCTATGGGGCCGACCCTACGGGCAAAGTAGACGCGACTCAAGCGTTTCAAAAAGCCGTTAATGATGGCCACTCCCAGGGAAAGACTGTGTATATACCTCAGGGCACATACCTAATCTACGACCACGTGATTGTGGACGGCGTGACACTGGTAGGGGCCGGACCTTGGTATTCAGTGTTGGGCGGTAGACACCCCCAGGATAAAAGTCGAGCATGCGGTATTTATGGTAAAGGCGAAAGTAGCCATAACGTACACCTGGCTAACTTTGCAATTATTGGCGACATCAGGGAGAGAGTTGATAATTGGCAAACAAATGCCCTAGGTGGCGCTTATAGTGACTCGGTTATTGAGAATTTGTGGCTACAACACGTAAAATGTGGCGCATGGTTAGATGGACCCATGAATAACTTGCTCATTAAAAATACGAGGATCGAGGACACTTTTGCTGATGGCATTAATTTCCATAGAGGGGTGACCAACTCGATCGTACAAAACACGTTTGTCCGTAATGTGGGCGATGACGGCCTGGCCATGTGGAGCGACGCCATACCCAACAAAAACAATAAGTTCATCAATAATACGGTGGGTATACCGGTGTTGGCCAACAATATCGTGTCATATGGCGGTCGTGACATCGAAATGAGCGACAACTTCGTGTACGACACGCTTAGTAACGGCGGGGGTCTACACGTGGGGAATCGGTATCCAGGTGTTACGGGCGAGGCAGCTGTCAAGGGTACCTATAAAATGTACCGGAACACCGTGCTTAGAGCCGGTAATAATAATTATGACTGGTTTTTTGGTATCGGTGCCATTTGGTTTGATGGACTCAACGAGGATATTCACGCGGATATCCAGGTTAAAGACTGCGAGATTATCGATGCCTCGTATGCAGCCATTTCGTACGTTGAGGGTAAAACCTACGGGGTGGTTTTTGAAAATTTATTTGTTAATGGAACTGGTACATTCTTTCTACAATTGCACACACCTGGCGAGGCTACTTTCAAAAATGTCAAAGCAATTAATATTAGACAAACAAACCCGATCTTTAACTTGAATTGCCAAGAGCAATTTAAAATAAATGTGGAGGGCACAAAAACTGGTTGGTACACTGATAAGCCTGACTGCGGTAACAATGCTTATATTAAATCTATTGTGCCAAAGTGGCCCTGGGATTGGTAATTCAGTAAACAAACTTAAAATTGACAAACAATTAGTTGATTTTAAGAATATTTAAAGCTATAAATTGTTTGCAAATATTATGTTTATTTAATGAGTTTAAAAATTTATCTCTATTGGTTATTAATGATAACTACTAATACAAAGTATATACCAAAATATAGTGAATATTCAAAAATTAATGTAAACATATTTTTTAATAAATAAACAATACATTAATATTTGATAAAAATAAATTGTTCAATTAAATTTATTAATTATATTAAGTTTGTAAACACAAGAAACTGTAATTTAATATAAATTTTATTCATAGTTTTAACATTTGATTTATGTGTTTAAGTAAATATTTGGAATACCATACACTTGGAGATTTTTTAAATTTTCCAAAATTAACAATGCAAATAATATTACCTAAATTTCGCATTATAGTTTCGGTAAAATAAATGTATTAATTATTTTATAAATTATTGATTATTTTATAAATATTTTGCAGTTTGCAACCTTATGTTTATAAATTTTGAAATATATTTTTAACAATATTAAAACTATATAAAAATAATTATGTTTACAATAATAATTATAATTTTCAAAACATTAATTTCGTAATTTAATATTACACATGACACCTTTGGGTGACATTGTGGGGTCGCCCTTAACGTAGTCTATTTTAAACCCTGGTACCAAGCTAAATTCAAATTTATGAATCAATTTGGCCAGGCATATTTTTATTTCATTGAGGGCAAATCTTTGACCAGGGCAAACTCTAGGTCCAGCACCAAAGGTTACGTAGGCATAGGGATGGTGTTTGGGATCTATGAAACGCTCCGGTATGAAAGCATCCGGGTTAGGCCAATATTCAGGGTCCCGTTGTATAGCATAGGGGCTGATAAGTACATCAGTGTCCGCGGGTAGGGTTATCCCTGGTCATATAAATCCAAAGTTATGATAATTAATAACTATTATGAGGTTTAAGCTAATTTTGTTAGTAAAACATTTATCTTGCTAATGATTATCTAGGCAATAATTAATTTTACTAAAATTATCTATTAGTTATTAATTTATAAATAATTACAATCTACTATTTTAAACTTTTTAATTTACTAATTTTATAAAGGTATCTAATTTATTTTAATAACTTTGATTGCTTAAAAATTATTATTGCTTAATAAATTTTAAAAATAAATATAAGAAATCCTGGTAGTAATGATAATATAATTTTTAGTTCATACCGGTATGACCAAGCTTATAGTCCTTAACGCATGTACGGAATAGCTGTACGAATGAGGGAGCGAGTCGTAGGGTCTCATTGACGACACCATTCAAGTACTTTAATTGCAAAACACTTTCGACCGACAAATCGCCGCAACCGTCCAACTCGTCAAACAGTTTTTGTTGACAGTCCTTGTGCTCAGACAAGTAGTATATGGCGTTGGATAGGGCGGCGCTGGACGTGTCGTACCCGGCGAGGAAAAACTGCGTGCTTTGGGCCACGATTTCATCGGTCGTTAGTTTCCCGACCGGTATTTTGGTGGTAGGGGTCTGTCCGGTGGTCGGATCGTTAGGGTCATCGTCACTGATAGAGTCGTATCCGAAGTCTTTGTCCGACTTTTCCGAGTCTATCATCAATTGTATGAAATCTGTGCGACGTTTAGCTATAAATAAAACAGAAAATAACTTATTATATAATAAACTGTAATTTTTGGCATAAGTTATGTTTTACAAAATTAGCAATTTTGTTTTTTTAATGTTGGACAATGGGATAACGATTGATATTTCATTCATTTTATTTATTTTAAACTAATAATAATTTAAATCGGTGAATTATATGGAAGTCCTATAATCCCATTCCCTCAAAATGATACATAAATAGCATAACATTTGCTAATTAATAATCATTAGAAAGATTTTAAAATTTAAATTACTGATACATTAATTGATCAGCTAGGTGCTTAAAAGTGTTATGTATTTACGAATAAATATTTAAATATTTGTCTTATAAAACTGTAATAAAGGTCTCATATTATGCCAAATATATTATTCATAGTGACTAATATGATTGTGGTATCAAACATGGCATGATTTATTTTAGGATTTAACCTGATATCTAATAATATTTAAAATATAATAGAAATACTTACTTTTATCACCTACTACATATTTATCATGCCTTTTACGTTCAGTCAATATTTTTTCGGTTACGTCCCGGAAATAATCAAACGGTTTGAGGGGAAAGGGTTCAGATTTGAGTAGTCGGGCCAACCCCGGGAAAAATAGCGATAAAATGGTTCCCACACTGAGTGGTGGGTCCAGTATTTTACGTGCGTTTACGCACATGGAATGATCCGGGTTATCAATCGAGTTGATTTCTACGCCATAGGCGCATGCACATATTACGTCCAATGTGAATGCACGCAGGTACTTTTGCATGTCTATTGATTTGCCTAATATAAATTGTGTAAAACAAATTATTATTGTATATTAAAATAAGATGTTAGAATATAGACTAAATAATAATAAATACGATTTTACATTCAATTTACCCTTTATATTATTAAATTAAACTTGAAATTTAAATAAATAATATCATCGTGTTTCCAATATTTAAAATTACATGTATTTTCTAATTATATAAGTTATAAAATAATTATTATTTACAGCTACAAATTAAAGCATTAAAAATGTTAGCCATAATTTATCTAAATGTTATATTTTAATATGTATTTAAATAACTACCTGTCCTTTCGTACTTCACAAGCATATCCACCAACCGGTTGGTTATGTCGGATATGGGTCCCATCATTGACCGTAATTTTCCGGATGTAAACGCCGGGGTAATTATATTCCGGATCCTTTTCCAATCATCACCACCTTTTAGGAAAAATAGGCCCTTGCTCATATGGGAACTACCAAAGTAAATATTGTTAATATGGTCGGGAAACACGTGAAAGTCCTTGATGAATATGTCCCGAAGTAGTTCAGGGTCGTTTATCATGATAGTATTGCCCGATATGGTGTACATGCCGTACACACGACCATATTTGCGGGTATTATCAAGGTCATATTCGTGGGTGTATTTTATTATTCGAGTAAGGTCAAAGAAATTTTTGCCGGGTACACCGTGGCGACTCCAGTAGGTGTATCGGTGTCGGAGGTACCTAGTTAAAATAAAAATAATTAGTCTGTAGTACTGGGTACTGACTTCTTTGCACCGCGTGCACCGCATTCACCGCTTGCACCGCTAGTACCGCATGCATCCCGTGAACAAAATATAAATCTTAAAAGAATTAACTATGTAAAATAAAATTAAGTAAACTAAGAGCCATAAGTAAAATATGATTTTAATTAAAATGAAAATAATGCAATAATATTATATTTATTCTTTATAATGTTCATATTATGTAATGTAAGTTCATTTATTGCTCGCTATATTTTAAATGGATATAAATTTTAGTATTAGCTTTACAAACTTAAATTTAATTAATTTTATAAAAATTAATATTATACTAAGTAATATCATGCTAGCATAGTATATTCAAGTAATTTAATTTCATTAAAAAATAGTTTAGTAGAATGTTTTAAACTACAGAATATTAAATATCATTACATGAATAAAATTAAATAAAGTGGTACAAGGGGTGCAAGGGGGTACTAGCGGTGCAAGCGGTGAACGCGGTGCAAAGAAGTCAGTACCGTAGTACTGTTTTCCAATAATAAAATATTTATGACATTTAAATTATATACTAATTAAATTTATAAATCTATTACAGTTTTTAAAGTATACTATTTATGAATATAATAATAATAATAATTTTTTATTTATAATTATAAATGCAATAAGCTTACCCGATAAATATTGAAATTGCAATTGCTAATACACTTAATAAAGTTATTAAATCCATAATAAATATAAAAAATTTATTATAATAAATTTATAAATATAACACTAGATTTATATTACAGTTTAATAAATAGTTTTCAAACAAATTCTTTTTATTTATATACAGAATGTTTATCATTTTATCTTATAATTAAACAAATGATAATATTTCTTAAAGATATAAACTTATCATAACCAGGGTATATTGCCGTAAAATGAATTTGTAGACAATATAATTAATAAATTAAATTTATTACCAATATTTAACGTTAATAATTATTTTTTTAATACAAAGAATTATATTATAAATTTAAAAATGGGTTTAATTTAATTATTTATGATGAGGAAGGACAATTATTAAATTTAAAAACTAATGTGCACTATATGTTAAAATTATATCTTATCACTTTATCGTTGTAGTACACCATGTCTTTAAATGCACTAACATA